GTGGTGATAGTGATGGTGGGCGTGGTGGATGCCCACGGCGATCTTGCGGACCCTCACCACCTCCTTCATGGCCACGAAGATGAGCTTGACGGGCAGGAAGCAGACGCACTTGTAGAAGAGGTCCAGTGGGCAGAAGAAGATCAGGTACCTTTGGGGAGACCATGCCAGGTGTCAGGCGGGGAGTGGCCGGGGCCCCAGGAGGGGGAGCAGAGGCCACAGGGTCGCTCTCTCCTTCAGAGCTGTGCTGCATCGACACCCTGGCCGAAGGCCGGCCTGCTCCCCTTCGGCTTTTCATTTCTTCTGGAACACAGAACTCGTCATAGAAACGGGAACGTAGAACCGCTCCGTAGGCATTGCCTGGCTATAACCTGCACAGGCGCCTAAGCCACCAACCAAAAGGTTGAGGGTTTGAACCCACTCAGAGGCACTCTGGAAAGCAGGCCTGGCGATCCGCTTCCCAAGGGCCCCAGCCTTGAAAACCCAGCAGAGGCGTTCTGTTCTGCACACCTGGGGCCGCCAGGAGTCGGCCGCGTCAACCTGACCGCAATTGACAATCTGTGTGGAAGTCAATTGCCAGGTCTTTCTTCGCCGGGTTAACTCTTGGTTAATAGCCAAGAGCGATCCCTTGGCACCACCCGGGAACTCCTGCTTCCCTTCCAGGGCAGCTGATAAGCCTACCCCCTGCCCCCAAACATTCTCCTTAGCAGGTTCTCATTATCCTGGGCCATACACATCAGCCCTTGCAAACTGGTACCTGGCCCCAAGGGCCAGCCCTCCATCCTGGACCCTGCAGAATTCCTACACATCTAGCTTCTCCCGCTCTGCTTGCCAGATAGAAGGGCCTCCTCTCATTCCAGCTCACTGTCACCTTATCCCCGAGTGCAGCCCTTGGTGTAGTCCTGCCTCATACCTGTACCTCCCTGACTCTGGGACCTGAGAGTATTAGCACCTGTTGTTGGCAGTTGCCACGGCAACCCCCTTAGTTTCAGGGTAGAACTGTCCATGGGGTTTTTGGCTGTCATCTATATGGCAGCAGGTCACCAGGCCTTTCTTCATCACGCCGCTGGGTGGGTTCAGCCACCCTTCAGGTTAGCGGCCAAGCACACCCTGTTTGCACCAGAGAGGGACCCGTCTTTAGACCCTGGGGAGCTCAGCTTTGGGATGCAGAGGTGCACGCCCCACGACAGGTGGGAGGGATGTGGGACCACCCATCTGCTCCCGTGGTTGTGAGGTGCTGCTGCGCCAATGCCCGCTCTTTCTGACCACAAGTGACGACGGACTAGCATGGTCCCCTAGACATTTTTCTTGACTGTCATCTGTCTGGGAGTAGGTTGCCAGATTTTTCTTCGGAGGTGCTGCTGGGTGGGTCCAAACTGCCCACCTTTCAATTCCCAGCCGAGCACTGAAGTGTGCCACCAAAAAAGAAAGACTCACTTCCAGTCCTTTCTGACTCAGTGACCCTACGGGATGGGGGAGAATACCCCGTAGGCTTCTGAGACAGTCACTCTTTATGGGAGCAGAAAGTCTGGTCTTTCTCCGGCGGAGCACTTGGCTTTGAACTGATGACCTTGCCGTGGTCAACCCAATTCGTATTTGTACCACTGGGGCACCTAAATGTGTCAATGCCCTGAGAACAAACAGGTCAGCAAAACCCAGTCCTGGGGGGGGTGGGGCTGTTGGAGCTTGCCCTGAACCACCTCCACCTGGTGGGAGGCCAGGGGGCGATTGGGATGGGGTGCTCGGGGTGACCTGTCATTGGTCTGCAGAGTCCCAGGCCCTCCCACAGCCTGGACACCCGGCTCAAGTGACACACCCGCCCCCAGCCTTGCTCCCCGCCCCTGGGTCCCAGAGACTCACCAGACAGCGGAGGCCAGCAGGACGCTGGAGTTGTTGCTGAAGTAGTCGATGAGCGGCTCCCCGAGCAGGAGGTCGGCCAGGATGTAGCTCCCGAAGCAGTGCAGCATGGCACAGAGCCAGGATGCGATGGGGTGGCACCGGGAGAGCTCGACTGCTCCTGGGGACGGACATGGGGGGGGGGGTGTCCCTCACCATCAGCCTTCAGGGAGCCCTGCACAAGCTCTGCCCTCACACACACACAGGTCAGCTGCCACCAGATCACCTGTGCATGCTGAGCACTCGCACCCGCCCCAGAGAGAGCCAAGATCAGACAGGTGGTGTGTGGCCCGAGGTCACACAGCAAGTCAAGGCAGTACTAGGTCCGTCCCTTTCCCCTTGGCTCAGTGTCCGGGCTTCAACTGTGTCAAACCACCCCAGCCCCCACCCCCCTGCCCCACACCAAATAATCTAATCTGGTACCTGTGAGCCTCACCTTGTTTAGAGGTTATCTGTGCATATGTTAGCAATTAAGTTATTGAAGCCAAGCTGGAGTAGGGTGGGCACTAATCTAACTATGAAGGAGGGCGGACCCCTCAGTAGCGCAGTGGGCTATGAGTTGGGCAGCTAACCGCAAGGTCAGCAGTTCAAATCCACCAGCCACTCCTCTGGAGAAAGAGGAAGCGTTCTGTTCCAGTGAGGACTTACAGTCGGAAATCCACAGGGACAGTTGTACTCCGCCTTATAGGATAGCAATGGATCGCCGTCGACTTGGCGGCAGTGAGCTTGGTTTTGTGAACAAGAAGCAGACCCACGCAGAAGAAAGCCAGGTGGAGGCAGAGGCACAGATTAGAGTGGTGCGGCCACAGCAGGGCTTCAAACCGGTTCCACACGGTTCCGATTCAGTCGCTGCCATCAACGCGGGCTGAGTGCACGCCGTACATTGCATAGTAACCGCTAGTAGCAAACAGCTGGGCCCCCCTCAACGATGGCGGCTGCCTGCACCTCTTTGGATGTACGTTGCTCCCCAGAGTCCTGCCAGTTACCCAGTCTCCCCCATCAGTCTCCTCCTGAACAACGTGGCAGGAAGGACCATGGCAGGATTTTGGAGAGCAACACCCATCTCGAAGCATGGTCAGCCGCCACCTCCCACAGGGCCCTGCTGCTGGATCCCTCTACTCGGATCAGGACGCCACAGAGCCGGGCAGGTGGGGGCCGAGTTTACGGCAGTCACCGAGCCGGACCATTCTGTAACAGAAGCCCTGGCACAAGTCAGGGGACACCTGGAGCCACTAGAATCGGGAAGAGGCCAGGAGGTGTGTTCCCCTCACCCCTTCAGAGCACTCAGTCCTGGAGACAGGGAAACCCTGCCCTCAGCCCCGGAGAAGACTCTCTTAACCCCAAAAGCGCTGTGTTGCAGCAGCACTGGGTACAGTTACAAATGTTTAAAATAACAACATTCAAAAGAGAAAAAACTGTAACTTCAAGGTTTCTGCAACGCAGGACAAGAACAGGAAAACCTGGCGCCCTCCAGGCAATTCGGACCTGTTCCTTCGCAGTCCGAGGTTGTCAATCTTGATGAGCACACACAGCCTCATCTTTCTCCCCGTGGAGTTGAACGGCTGCCCTTGGGGTTAGCAGCCCGACTTGCCACCCATGAGGCCACCAGGGCTCCTGCCACTAAGGATAGCACCCAAGAAGGACATTGCTGAGTGAGGACCGTGGAGCCTGCCCTGAGAGCAGCGGCTCGAAGCTCCGACCTTCCGCCCACAGCTTAGCCTGAAGCCCTTTGCAAACCCAGCCTCTGTCTCCATCACCGGGCTTGAGGTAAATGGACTCTCGCCATCTATGAACTCGGGAGATGGCCACCCACACATGGGACAATGCCCTGGAGCTCCGCCCAGGGGGTGCCATATGTGACTGTGGCTGGGAGCTGCCATCGACTCAGGGTGACCCCCTGCCGCAGCCACAACAGGAAGAAGGGTGCTGGAACCTGTCCCGCTCCTGCGATGGATTATGGTTCGGATTGTCGTGATCCAGAGTTTTCATCGGTTGATTTTCAGAATTAGATCACCAGGCCTTTCTTCCTAGCCCGTAGACTCCCCTGAAACCTGTTCAGCATCTAGCAATCCAGAAGCCTCCACTGGCAGGCGAGTGGTGGCTGTGCGTGAGCTGCATTCACCAGGAACTGAACCTGGGTCTCCCACGTGGGAAGCGAGGATTCTACCGCTGCCCTTGTGCTGGGCCTGGACACACTGCTATGGGACCCTTAGGACTGTCCTAAGAAGTCCTAGTGCTGTAGTGGGTGTGCTTTGGGCTGTTAACCAGAGTCAGCAATTCAAAATGAGCCAGTGCTCCTCAGGAGAGGGTTGAGGCTTTCGATCCCGTATGGAGGTACAGTCTCAGAAACCCCAAGCAATTCTACCCTGTCCTACACAGCTGCTATGAGTCCCAGGGTTCTTTGTTTGTTTTTAGTTATCTGTGTCCTGGATTGACTATGGATGCTCATCACTGGGGGGAGCTGAGAGATGGCAACATGGAGCTCTCTGAACTAATTTTGTCTTAACCTCTCAAGATGACAAAGAATTTTTTTAATCCCCACGTCAATAGGGTGGAAGGTGAGGGTGAGCAGTCTGTACAGCCACAAAGGACGTTTTGAACCTTGAAAAGGTGACGCTTTGTGAAAGAGATCAGACACAAGGGGGAAATACCATAGGAGCAGCTCACTCCCGTGAAACAGGCAGACAGAGAGGCTGGGGCTTACCCGTGGTCCCCAGGGATGGGGGGATGCCACTGCTTAGGGGGCACTGGGCTTGCTGGGAAAGGGGCCGTGATGTTACTTGCACAAGATGAACAGAATCATGCGGGAGAACTCAGAGGCACGCTCACCGCCATGGAGTGGGTCCCAACTCACCGTGTCCTTACAGCAGGGTGCTCACACTTTTTCAGCACGCGAGCACTTATAAAATGATCAAGTCAACATGACCTAACAACTGCAGAAATGCAAAACATATTTATTGACTGATTACATTTATTCATAAGTGCATTGAGAATTCTTTATCCGTACAATGCATGTTTATGGACGTTACATAACCGCATGAGTCCATATTGCACAACACAATTCACTATGTACATTGTTTGTCATGACCTGAGTTTCCTCTGATGACTTGCACGGAATGGAATGAGGCAGGGATGCCTAGTCCGGACAGTAGCTGCCGACAGCCAGCCTCAAGCACACTTCCAAATGATCATCAGTCATGGTGGAACGGTACTTGGACTTAATGATCTTTATGTGGGAAAAGGCTGACTCATATAAATAAGTAGAGCCGAATAAGGCAGTCAAAGAGGTAACACATTTTCTCATGTTTGGTTACTTTTCCTCTACGAGTAAGTTCCAGAACTGTTCATGAGCTCTGGACTTCAGTTGAATATCGGCTTGTAGTGCCAAAATCTCCCATTCCGTATGAAAGTGATGCGTTTTTGTCTTCTTACTTGGTCCAGCTCCCCCACTCATTTTAATACCCTTTCTTACGTTTAAGGGGAAAAAAACAAGGTCTAAAAATTGGCGATAACGTAGCTTGTCAGTTTTGCAGCATGCGTTTGGCACCCAAGCTTGCATCTGATTGGCTGAGCTGTATGTTAATTAAATGACGGGATTGATGATAGGCTTACATCTATTTTTTTAATGCCATGCGATCTATACATTTGTGATTGACTAGTAGACCACGATCAACGTATTGAGCACCCCTGCCCTGCAGGGCAGAGGAGAAGGTCCTGTGTGGGTCCCCAGACTGTGACTCGTTACTGGAGTCAAAGCATCACCCTTCTCCCTCATGGCTGCAGGTGGTTTCAAACCACACACCTCACACTCAGCAACAATCACAGCAACAACAAACACGGGCAGGCCGTGTTCTGGCTTTTTATAAATAAGCTTAAGACCCAAACAGAACACTGGGGTCTAATTTAAGGTTAAACTCAAACAAACACGGCCATCACATTGCAGCCAACTCGTAGTGACGCTGTAGGACAGGGGAGACCTGCCCTCTGTGGTTTCTGAGACGGTGGCTCTTTTTTTTTAATCATTTTATTGGGGGCTCGGACAACTCTTATCAAAATCCATCCATCCATCCATTATGTCAAGCACTTTTGTACATTTGTTGCCATCATCATTCTCAAAACATTTGCTTTTGACTTGAGCCCTTGGTATCAGCTCATTTTTCCCCTCCTTTCCCACTCCCTGCTCCCTCATGAACCCTTGATAATTTATAAATTATTATTTTGTCATATCTTATACTGTCCCATGTCTCCCTTCACCCACTTTTCTGTTGTCCGTCCCCCAGGGAGGAGGTTATATGTAGATCCTCGTAATCGGTTCCCCCTTTTTACCCCACCCTCCCTCCACCCTCCAGGTATCACCACTCTCACCACTGGTCCTGAAGGGAGAATCTGTCCTGGATTCCCTGTGTTTCCAGTTCCTATCTATACCAGTGTACATCCTCTGGTCTAGCCAGATTTATAAGGTAGAATTGGGATCATGATAGTTGGGGGGGTGGGGGTGAGGCGCATTTAAGAACTAGAGGGAAGTGGTATGGTTCAGCATTGCTACACTGCACCCTGACTGGCTCGTCTCCTCCCCGATTCCCTTCTGTAAGGGGATGTCCAGTTGCCTTTTTGGGTCCCCACTCCACACTCTCCCTCATTCTCAATGATGTGATTTTTCCCCCCTTTGATGCCTGATACCTGATCCCTTCGACACCTTGTGATCACACAGGCTGGTGTGCTTCTTCCATGTGGGCACCATCAGCTTTCTTCACCACATTTGCCTATTCACCCCCTTTGTATTAAGCGATTGTGTCAGGAAGGTGAGCATCAAGGAATGCCAGTTTAATAGAACAAAGTATTCTTGCATTGAGGGAGTACCTGAGTGGAGGCCCAATGTCCATCTGCTACCTTAATACTAAACCTATACATATATGCATATAGATCTATTTCCCCATCATCATATAGAAATATATTTACATATGCATATGCCTGTATCTTGACCTCTATAAATGTCCTTTGCCTTCTACTTTTTCCTTCTATTTCCTTTTACTTTCCTCTTGTCCCACTATCATGTTCAGCCTTCATTTGGGTTTCAGTAATTCCTCTTAGAATTACATTACCCTTGATCAAGCCCTACCA